GCTAACAACTTTCCAGTATAACTGGGGCAGCGTTCACAACCTCGTGCCTTTTATTCTTGGACTCGTTCTCATAGCCGCATTCGTCGTATGGGAGTTCCGCGCCGAGCATCCCATGGTTCCACGAGGAATGTTCGCCAAAGCCAAGAGAACCATGATTGTCATCCTGCTCCTCATCTTCATTAGTGGTGGCACTTTCTTCGCCTTGATCCTCATCTACCCATCCCAAGTCCTCAACGTCTACGGTAAGCAAACGACACCCACAATCCGCAGTTGTATCCACCGCTAACAAAAACCACAGGCAATGACCCAACAGAAAACGGCCTCCGCTCTCTCCCCATCGGCTTCGGCATCATGGGTGGTGCCTTCATAGGCTTACTCCTAATCCCCATCACTGGCGGCCGCTTCCGGGAAATCATGATCTTCATCACCTCCGTCGCAACCGCCTCCACAGCCCTCCTCTCCATCAACACCCCGCACAACGTCGGCGCAATTGTAGCCATCGCCTCGGTCGCCTGCACAGCTATCGGCGCCGTCATCATCCCCTCGACAGTCATTGCCCAAATCGCCGCTCCAGACGAATACATCGCCACCGTCACCGCCCTCACCCTCAGCATCCGCTACATCGGCGGCGCAATCGGCTACTCCATCTACATCAACCTCATGACCCGCCAAGCTACAAAGTACCTAGGTCTCATGGCACAGAATACGATCGCCCTCCAGGCCATTGTCAACCCGCTTATCCCCGCTGGCCGCGAGGCCATCAAGAACATCGTTGTCGGCATCGCCAACGGCCAATTCGAAGAGGTACAGAGAATCATGGCTACTGACCCCACGGTCCTCCAGCGAGATGCCTACCCGATCATCCTCGCCGCCTCCCGGGAGGCCTGGGCTCAGGCCTACAAGCTACCGTATTACGTCTCGATTGCATTCGGTGGTGCCACCGTCATTCTGAGCTTCTTCATTGGCGATATTAGACAGTACATGACGTCCAAGATTGCGGTCCATGTTTAAAGAAGAGATGGTCTGGAAGAAGTTGTAGTAGTTATTTTTTTTGTCTTCTTACCACTAGGCTTGAGCGACGTTTTTTGTTTTGTGTTGTTTGTTTGGCGGATGAATGGTATGGGTTTGAGCGGCTAGCGATAGCAAAGCTTAATTTATTTTCGAATGTATTTTGGGGAAATTAGAATTAAGGTAGCAAATGAGGAAGTAGGAAATGGGGTTCTAAGATCCACCACGCTACATTCTCTCTCTCTCTCTCTTTTTTTTTAACTTCTGTTTCTAGAGAAATATCCAAATCACTCCTTCAAATTCAAGATTTGTAACCACCTTTCTTTTCGCTTTTTTTTATGAGATCGAGAGAGAAAAAAAAGGTCTCATGGAGTTTTTCATTAACAAAAAAAATTTCAATGTTGGAATTCTTTACTACTAACCACCGATTCTGTTGAATAAACAAAAACGTCTACATCCCTTCTTTCGTGCGCATATCGGCGACGACTCGCATGTAGCAAATGTTATGTTTACCCACAAAGCAACATGTTATTTTGTATGATAAAATCCTAATAATCTCAACACCAAAAAAAATTTGGAATTTTCAAATTTCAAAAATAAAAATAAAAAATCGACAATATAAATTCAAAAGAAAAAAATATTGGAAAAAAAACAAGGAGGGGGTATAAAACGCCATTTTTGCCCAAGAAGAAAAGAAATGCCCAGAATATCGCTGCAAAGGTTGGGAAAAAAAAGATTATGCGATGATATCTTTCAGTCCAACTTTGTTGCTTGGGTGTCTCGTGGGGTGATGGCGCTCATAGAGCTGCTGATGACGGCTCCGGCAGTTAGAATGCTAATGCAGAGGAAGCTTGTGGTGAGGACGCTGCTGACGTAGGCGGCGGGGAGTGTTTGGTGTTGTTGGTGGTGTTTTGTTTGCTCGGGGTGGGTTGGAGGTGTGATGGTGTGATGTGAGATGGAGCGGTCCTTGCTTAGCTCTTTCCGTATTGTGGTCTCGATGGCGGAAGTGCTGCCATTTTCTCCTTTCTTGTTGAACGATGATATTGTTGTTGTAACGGGCTCATTGTGGTTGGTAGTGAATAGACTGTCGTGGTAAATGTCCATTTTGGTCTTGTCTTGCCTCCTCTCTAGCATCTCTGCCGCGTCATCTTCTTCGTCGCAACTCTCATCGCCGGATGCACCGTACTCCTCGACAGTCGCCAGCGTATCAAGCGCATCCATAGAGTCAACCCGTACCGCCCTTTTAGGGCGAACCTGAGCCTCGACGTGTTGCGCCTGCCAGTCGCACCCATCAATGCAGGTGCCTATAACAGGTGATATCAGCGGAGACGAGGACACGTATCCTTCATCGCGGTCTCCAATTGCGCATTCAGATTCAGCGTAAAAAACAACGTCATTGAAATCCAGCTCTTCGTTGTGGGTGGAATTTCTGGGTTCTAGGGGCCGAACCACGGAGAATATGTTGTTGTCGTCATCATCATCGAGCTCGGTCTCAAGCGGCCCGAATGTTTCTTCTTCGTCTTCGTCACTCTTCTCCCATGTATCGATGGAACTTGAGTCCTCCGCTTCCTCGTCCTCTTCAGATCCGTCGACACCATCTCTTTCTTGCTGTGCTTTCCACATTCCAATCAACTCCTTCAGCTCGTCTCTGGAAAAGTGTTCTTGAGCTGGTGTTCTTCGCGGTGCAACTTGCTCGTTTGTATTCTGCTGCTTCTCTTCTTCATAGATGAAATTGAAATCTGGCTGCGGCTCCTGCAGCTCTGGCAGCTCATACAAGTCCCTGTTTTGGCTCTCTGTTGCTTCCTCTCTATGTATGTTTTCGTACCTTCTTCTGTTCCCGATCAAATGCGCTTCCTCGATCCCTGTCACAAACGCCAATGGCGAATGGCGATATACTTGTGCCCTTTGTCTTCCAGTCAGGTGACTTACGTTTTGGAATGCCTTTGCGTATCGGTACCGTTGGCCATTGTAGGGGCTGAGTTCGGGATATGCTGGTGCATCAGCCTCGTCCTTGCCGTCATAGTATATACCAATAGCGTGAGTAAGGTACTCATGACGTGCGGAAGCAATCTCTTCTTCCGTGATTGTGTCGATAATGTTGTTATATACGGCTTCTGGTGGTGCTTCAACAGCTTCTAGCTCAGATGCGTGTCCATCCTCTGGGTCAACATCCGGTGACTGGTCAACAGTCATGTCGATAACATGCGAGGTTAGAGTGTCCGAATGTGCGTCTCTATAGCTGTTGCGATCTGATGTATATGCTGTAGTCGATTCTATACTCTCTTCACAACGCGACAGTTGAAGTGGGCCAAGCTCGTCAACACTTGGTGAAGAAGTGTCAACAGTGGCTTTCCAAGTATCCAGGTCAAAGTCGTCGTCGTCGTCATCGTCCCAATTGAACTTCCGGTCGTTACCGCTAGCGATTTCATGTGAAGCCATGTTGCTATATTTGAATTTAAGAATTTTTTCCGATGTGTGTGCGTATCAGTGAAGGTTGCGTGGGTTGAAAGCGAAGACAGTCGGACAAAGCCGTCGACCAGAGAGCAAGTCAAAGGCTCTTGGGCCGAGATATGAATGAAACTGGCCTCCCATGCCAACGTTCACCACCCTTATCACGAGCGCACGTGTGCGACAGTGAAATGGAAACCCACGGTTAATGGTCTTGGCGCCCAAGCTATTGGGCTTCAACCAAGTATGGTACGTGCGCGATAGGTTTCCTACAGGGGAGATGAAACTGGCTGGGTCTTGGGCGCGCGCGCGCAAACAGTTTGTGCGGAGACGTGTCGCGTTAGTTATCGACACCTTTGCCGCGAATAAAAGCATTGTGTCCTGGCGCAGAGGCAAACGTTTTTATGCGGACGAGAGCAAACAGCAATTCACCCGCAAACGGAATCAGCCCGCTGGCTTGTCTCACCATGCCGTTCGCATACCATGATGAAGGATGATGTAAGATTAACATTTGATGAAGTTCCCGTGAGTGCCGGTTGGTGTGGGAAAAAGGACGCGGGTGCACCCAGGCTTCGGAAGGCCGACAAACAGCACAAGCCGAATAAAGAAGACTAAAAATACTCCCGCAAATCACAGCTGTGACATGCGACAAAAATGCCCGTTCGCGAACTACGTCCAACAAATCAAGACAATGAGATATGTCTAGCAGCGAATACCATGCGCTGGGCTGGATCGTGAGGTCCGAGCACGACGCCAAATGATTGTCGCCGCCCACGCATCTACCCCGTAGATCGACGAGGCTGCCCGCGCGCCCGGTCGTGTTTGCAAAAGAGAACCTTGGTTCGGGATTCTCCAGAAGCGTCCAGATAGGGCCATGGACCATGGATAGTGAACAGTCATCGGTTGGGGTGATAGATTCAAGCTACAAATCGTATTGGTGAACGCTTTGGTTTTTGTACATAACAGGTAATGTGTCGCATGTTGTGCTTGCAAGACAGTTTTGATGTACGCGCTATGGTACATCTCAATTGTTTAGCGCTGCCATGACATATCAGGGTCTAATAAATGATGAGTGCTCGGTAATCTGGTTCGATCGCCCTATTACGTCGTGGTTCCCCAGGACACCTGAAGCGTTCGGGTAGGTTCAAGGAATCGCGACCAGCCTCACTTTGCAGTAGTGCTGCTGGCTGCTGTCTGACATCATTCTGCAGGATTTCCCTACTTGATGAGGAAATCCAGCTTACACTTTTTGTCTTTGCATATTCTAGTGTCGTCATCATCGGCACTGTTGAATTCAAAATTCGATCGTGTGCTGATCGTGCGCGATGGTGGTTGCGGCGCTGGCGGCTGATGAAGCTGTAGCAAATGAAAATAAAATCTCTAACTGTAATGAAAGTTATTGCAACCATGTTGAGAAGTGATTAGCCTGCAGCAAATGGCACACTGGATGCACGTATGCTCTTCATGATAATAGTCAAATTGTAACACATCATCCTTGTCTGTATGCAGATGATCGATCTCTATGTACAGGCTGGCGATTGAGATTACTGACCAGCAGTTTTCCGGTGCATAACTGTAGCTGCCGCCTATATTCTGTTAGTGAAACAGTCGCTTGTTTTACAAGTCTCTAATTCGACTTACTTGGTGGTTTGGAAATATCAAGCTATCAGCAAGTACCACGTTCTCTCTCCTGCCAGCAGCAAAGACGACAACCTCGGCAATGTCATCAGGTGTCAAAGGCTCGACTCCTTCATATACCTTCTTTGCCTTTTCCTTGTCTCCACCGAACCTTACAACACTGAATTCAGTTTCCACCTGGCCTGGGTCAATTTCTATGACTCTTATCCTTGTTGCGATCAGCTCCCTGCGTAGGGCGTCTGTGAAGCTTCGGACTGCAGCCTTGGTTGCGCAGTAGATGGATCCGCCCTGGTAGGGTTCACGGCCCGCAATGGAGCCAATGTTTATGATGTCGCCTAAGGGGGTGGAGCGTGCCTTGAAGATAGGAAGGATGGCTTGCGTCATGTTGATCAGGCCGGTTACATTTGTGCTGAACATGATATCGATGTCGGCTGGAGAGATATCGGGGGCTTGGGCAACGCCTTTGACGAGTCCACTTGAATCATGTTAGCTGCAGAGAAAGGCCATGATATACATTGGGCAACTCACGCGTTGTTGACCAGCACATCGATGTCCTTGAACTCTTGAGGAAGGTTGCCAACAAAATTTTGGACCTCATCGGGCTTGCTGACATCCATCTTGACCGGTAGGACTTTGACGCCTTTTGCAAACCCACCAATCTCCTGCGCAAGTTCTTTCAATGAGTCCTCCCTTCGTGCAGTCAAGATGAGCTTCAAGTCGTCTGGCTGTGTCCGGGCGAATTCGAGGGCTGTTGATTTACCAATGCCAGAAGACGCACCGGTGATGACAATGGTCTTGCCCTTGAGGCGCTCAGCCATCTTAGTCGACATTTTGGCAGCGTGATGTTGAAGATAGCTCTGTAGTTGTGTACTGCAAGGGACGATGCGGGGTCGCAATGGGGCTTGGGCAAAGGCAGTTGCAGTGCAGAAGAAAAGCTTAGATGACGGCAGAACAGGCATGTAAGTCGCAATGCTTTGTAATACAGCAATTAATGGGTGAAGGAGTGTGGAGTCTACGATTCGGGGTTGATAATGCGGGCGCAAGTCATAATGGCCATGGATATCGGCGGCAATCCCGAGGCTGCGCGAGTCAGGAACAGTGCATGGAGGGGTAGGTAGTCAAGCACGGCAATGTGGGGGAGCTCTGCATGCATCACACCGAGATAGCTTGAGCCGCATCACGTCGCAACTTCATACAAAAGTAGATGGTTTGGTGGTGAACATATCTTCATTCATGTCTCAGCCATATTCCAGGCTTTCGTGGAGACGTTTTATCGTCAATCCGAGTCATTATGCGTATATCCCTCCAACTCCAGGCATGCGCATGAAAAAGTGCAGGTATCAAAAACGTCTTTTACAGCGACAAACTTAGGCAGCGCCCTTCTTCTTGAGCATGGCCTCGTCCTCTTCCCTCAGTTCCTGGTCGATCTTGGCTCCCTTGGAGGGCTCGTTGCCGTGTGCGCGTGCAGGCAGGGTAGCATCCTTCTCCCTCTGCAGGTCCTCGAGAGACTTCTCCTCACCCTCCTTCTCGCGCTTCTCCTCGCGCTCGAGCTTGTTGGCAATTGATCGCTCGTCCTCTGCCAGCCGCTGTTAGCATATGTTTCTTAACGCAATCATGGTTGAGTTTGACCCAAGCTTTGCGCGGCACGACCAAAAGGGCATCGACACATGCAACAAACTAGGGGAAGCACATACTTGAGTCAAGAGCCTTGTGAGAGTTCTCCTTGCCCTCGTGGAACCTGTTCTCCTTCTTCTCCTGCTCGATCTCGGCGTTGGACTTGGTGACCTGGTCGCCAGCCTCGTAGACGGTCCTGTTGCCGACGCTTGAGTTTCCAGACATGTTGAGTATGTGGGTTATGAAACGTGGGAAAAAGAGTTATATTGAAAGATTGGTTGAGTGAAGAGGAGATGAATTGCAATGGATGTGCGAATGATGATGTCGAGGGTGAGTTCTCCCTTCTCCTTATGAAGGGTTTCTTCTGCGCGCAAAACTAACATAGCGATGACGTAGTGTTGTAGTGATATCATCGGTGGAGACGAACCGCATGTTTGGGCACCCAAAGCGATGCGAATGATGACATGCAAATGGCCGATGTGGTGCCTGCATTGTAAATTTGCATACAGTATAGCGATCACGGAGCTGGAGCTGTCGTGTGCTTATCCCGAGCTTGCTGCGATTGCGCACTGGTGAAGGAGCTCGCTTTCGTCATTTTACCCACATCAACCCATCTCTGCAAGCCAGCTAACAACCATGTCTGTTACCAGCTGCGGACCACTACCACATTTGCATACTGTGTAACATGCCATTACATACAATTTTTTGGGCAAGCGCAATTTGGAACATGTCAACTACTACAACCAGTACACGCGACACTCAGGCAAAGCTCCGCTTCTCTAACCACCTGTCCACGAGTGCCAATGCCTCCTTGGGCTTATCAAATGGAACAAGATGTCCCGCTCTATCTACCGTTGTAAAAGCAAAGGTCGTCTCCCTGCCGCTTGCAGTCTTGGTCTTTACCTCCTTGAACCACCCTACTTCTTCTCCGTCGTTCTTCCACGTTCTCTTTGGCTGTGCAACAAACGCTGGCTGACCTTTCCATTGCATCGTGTTTGCCCACTGCAGATTTCCTGCAGTATTGCACGCAAGATCAAGGTTGCCTTGGTAGAAAAGCACGTCGATACCATGCTCAAGAAGGTACAAGACCTGTGGCTGCGTGCTCTGAACACCATCTCCAGTTAGAGCAAAGGCCCATGTAATATCCAGAGATAGAACCGAATAGTTGCCCGCAGCTTTAGGTACGTTAAGAGCTTGTCGAACCGATGGAAGATTGAGATACTTTTGTATCCTCGGGATCTCAGGGTAGCATAATTCGTCCTTCGTCTCACACCCGTCTGTGATGTCGTAGCGATTACGACCACCTTCGCCGGACTCGCCATCGTAGTATTGGATGACCCCCTTGTCACATACTTTCTCTGCAGCGATGCATATGGCTGGATCTGGGTGATCATAACAGATTTGGGTGAGCTCCATGCAGCGAGGTAGGTTTGCTGCCATGATATCGCAGCGCGTCTGGTTGAAGATGGGGCTCTCGACACCGGGATTCGTTGTGCAAAGAGTCTCCCAATAGCCAAAGGTAGTGTCTTTGGGTGAGACATATGCATTGCCGGTGAATGTTGATTTAAGGTTGACTTGGGGTCGCTTTGGGTACAGGAGGTTCTGAGACACAATCTGCGCGCCGAGTGCTGGAACATAGTGGCCCTTGGTGGTCGATCAGCTTGTACACTTGATTATGGTGCAAAAAACCTACAGCATAGCTTTCTCCGGTAATATGGAAGTCTCTTCCGGAAAGGCTCGGGAAGACATCGCTGGTAAACAGCTGCAGGAAATGATGCATGTCTTCAGCCGCTGTGAAGCTCGTAGCCGGAAGCGGGACACCTGGGTCAACATAGCTGAAACCCACACCAGCCGGCTGGTCAACAAAGATGATGTTGGCATTCTTGCTCCACCCGTATTCGTTGAAGACAGTGCCATTACCGTGCTCATTGATCATGCATGGTCCCAACTCACCCATCATTCCAAGCATGCCAGACGCACCTGGGCCTCCACTCAACCATAACAACAGCGGATCTTCGGACGGCTTTCTCTGTGATTCAAAGTACCAGAAGAAGATGTGTTTTGAGCCGACATCTAGCCAGCCGGTATACTGTTTACCGTGAGCGTTGCAAATCGTGTCGTCTTGCTGCTCTCTGATGCGGATGGCATGGTGTTCGGAAAACTGACTCTGATATGTCTGGAAACCTTCAACATCGAGTGTCTCTTGGAACGGCACCTGTGAAAAGGATGTGGCAGGGACAGTCGCGGCAAGCAAACTTGCAATAGAAAGCTTCATGATTGATGTACACCCTCGCGGTACTGCGATGGATGCTCAATTCAACACAGAATGACAACAGAACAATGACACGTGACAAATCAGTATTGCAAGAGACAGAACAGTTGTATGAGTCTGGAGAATGATAGATATTCCCAGAGAACACGGGTGAAGAAGGTTGGTGTCCGCGTCGCCCCGGGCCCCAGTAAACGATCGTCCAAAGTTAGACAGGGGTGTGGGGATTGGTCTTCACCCGCACCTCGAAACTACCACCATACGCGACTGTATCCTCAACCCGACTATTTTGCGCGACTTGACCGCGTCAATCAACACCTTGAATACGATTCGCCTCCGTCGCAATTTCGAACCTCTGCTGGAATCGCGCATCAACCTACAAGTACCCACCTGACAATCCGCAGCACATACAGCCAGAGCAAGGCACCCTCCTCCATCATGCCCTACAACAACACTCCGATTGCGCCCAACAAGGAGATTACCGGCCATGTGTCGCTTCCGTGTAAGTAGAACGTTCAGTCGCCATTCACATAACCTCATCAATTAACTCCCTCAACAGTGGCACGCGTGCAGAAGATCATCCAAGCGGACCCAGAGCGCATCACAACTTCCAAGAACGCTGCCTTTGCCATCGCGCTCGCCACAGAAATGTTCATCCAGCACCTCGCAACCACAACCTACAATGTTGTAAAAGCTGAGCGCAAGCCCCGCCGCAACATCCAGTACCGTGATGTCAGCAGCGCCGTAGCAAAGACCGACAATCTTGAATTCCTGGTCGATGTTGCACCCAAGACAAGCACATGGGGCACGGTAAAGAAGAGGATCGAGGAAAAGGAGAAAGAGGATGCGAAGAGGAAGGAGAAGGAAGGCAAGAAAGACCCTATAGCAAATGACCAGACAAAACTGGGTGCGCCTGTAGAGACGGTGGAGGGTGATGCCGCAGACAAGATTCAAACACCTGAGAATGGCGCTGCCATGGCTTCGCAGTCACCAGACAAGCCAGAGGAGACACCCGATGCCATGGAGGTCGATCAGGGAGTAGACCGTGTTGCAGACAGTGAGCCAGAGGAAGATGCTGCAGCCATGCAAATCGAGATGGAGATGCGCGGTCCACCAAGCCAGCCTGCGCCAACTGAGAACAAGCCTGCCAGTCCAGTAGTCAGGCGGCCGACAGGAGGGTTCACAGCTATCAACGGTAACAAGTAATTGGAGCTGATCCAGGACTTGGGGGCGAAGAATTATTTGCATTGCATTTGGCGTTCAGCAGGATATACCATGCCGAGGATACTTGACGAGTTGACGGAATTCGATATGGAGATTTGACTATGCCCCGGACGAACATGAAAGATCTGTTCTACCGGATCGCAATATAAATTAAACTATTCCAGACTGCATCTACTGCGTGGCCTGGGACATGATGCTAGATTAGAACCGGGCTACTTGAAGAGAATTGAATAGTATGACTTGGAACTCCACCGACTCATCAACCGACTGCTACCACTTTCATGCATCTGAGCTCTCACATCCACCAACAGGACTAGCACCTACACTCTGATATATATCCCCTAACTACCCTCCGTATTCCACACCTCCAGCCTCCCCACCCACCCCTCCCTCCCCACAACCCCCCTTAACACCTCCTCCGTCCTCTCCCACGGCACCCCAAACTCCCCACTATTAATCCTACACATCCTCACACTCGCCACCTCCTCGCCCAGCAACCCTAACAACCCCAAGCACCCCTCAATCGCCCTCCCCGTATTCCTCAGAATCTCTCCTGCCGCATCCTTACCCTTCCCATACCTGCGACTCGTAAACAGACACCCAATCCAATGCCCCTTGTCGCCGTCCACTGGTGGAATCAACAGCGTTGTGCCGACTGGCACTGGGTTTCCAGTTTTCGGGGAATGCTCTTTGGTGCAGAAGGCGTGGTAGATGGTGTAGGCGTTGGGGTACTGCTTTTTGAAGGCTAGGGCGATGCCTGAGCCCCAGGAGCCTTGGGTGTTGCAGGCGTGGAGGAGCAGGGTGCCTTGGGGTGCGGTGAAGAGGGAGCCGGTGTGGTGGGTTAGGTACAGGGTACTCGAGGTGGTCGAGGGAGGGCTTGGGGGGAGGTCTTTGTAGGAAAGAGGGGTGAGGGTAGGAGTGGTTTTTGTATCTTGTCGTTTTGAGGGGAGGAGGGCTGAGGATGTGGAGAGTGATCTTTTGGTTTTATTTTTGCTGGTATCTTGAGGTATTGGGGTTTCTGATACTGGTTGGTTTTCCGGTTCGTGTTTAGGAAGTTTTTGGGAGTTTGCTTGATCGCGATCTGCAGTTTTCGGCTTGAAGTAGGAAGTGATGGAAGCATTTTTGATGTCGGACATGATTGCGAGTGATTTGAAAGTTGTTAGGTGACGTTGGATAGGGTTGTAAGGCATATGGGTGCTAACTGAGAAGGTTGTACTGGCGAGCACTCTGTGGAGAGTGGTGAGAAGGAAGGAATTGTCAGTGACAAGGAAAGTAGTAAAGTAGTGAAGGACCAAAGGCATAATTCTGTGGATTGGGACCAAAAGCTAGAAGTCAGGCAGCCGCCAAGGCTCTCTCTCACCTTAGATGAGTCAACAGTCTGTGCATACGATCTATAAATTCATTGTAGTTGTGAGAGCAAATATACAGATTTTAAGAAATGAGAAATGACAGTTCAGAAGCAGGGTAGTTTAAAATAACGATACCATGTGATGTCTTACCAGAAAATCAAGCTATGGAACTAATAGTGAACAAAGAAAAATAGTAAAGTGCAACGTTGTGTATCAAGCAAGCCCAATCAAAACCCATGTTACTACAATGCCGTCGTGGTGTTCGGGCGATGACGCTTGGATGGTGTTCGTCGGCCACGAGACCTTCTGGCCAATCAGACAACACCTGACATAACGCTCCCTGCCAAACCAGCCAAAACTTCAACATCGTCAACCCAAGCTCCTCTCCATCAACGACCACAACCCCCGCCCACTCGCGTCCACGATGCCCGCTCTCGCCAACACCGCCCGTGCCGTCGCACGCTCATGGACCGCTCACCAATTGCCCGTTGCCCGGGCGGCCGGTTGCACCGCCATGCAGACCCGCAACGCCTCGGCTTCCTCGTTCGATAGCCCCTTCAAGGGCACCCCGGAGACGACCAAGATCCCCTCGTTTGCTGCGTACAGGAATAAGGGTGGCGAGACCGGACCCAAGGTCTTCCAGTACTTCATGGTCGGAACCATGGGTGCGCTGAGTGCGCTTGGCGCGAAGGCGACCGTACAGGGTAGGTCACCAGCACCGCGACAACACAATGGAGGAGTGGAAATTGGTTGGAGGAGTTGATATGGCATATTTGGAGTTCTGGGAGAGCAATTGGCCATTTTTCGGATGACATGCGTCCGTGAATTGATGGAGAACCGAACGGCTAACGCAATCGTTCAACAGACTTCCTTGTCAACATGTCTGCTTCCGCCGACGTTTTGGCCCAAGCCAAGGTTGAAATCGACCTCGCTGCCATTCCCGAGGGCAAGAACGTACGTTTTGCGACATCACACGGATTACCCGACGAGCGGAAGCTGATAAGCGCAGGTCATTATCAAGTGGCGAGGCAAGCCCGTCTTTATCCGACACCGCACCGAGGACGAGATCAAGGAGGCTGAAGATACCAAGTGGGAGTCTCTCCGTGACCCCCAGCCTGACTCTGCCCGTGTCCAGAAGCCCGAATGGTTGATCATGTTGGGTACGTTACACCGCGAACCGCACAGATGAAGATTGGAATTAACAGCAACAGGTGTCTGCACCCATCTTGGATGTGTCCCCATTGGCGAGGCTGGTGACTTTGGAGGCTGGTTCTGCCCTTGCCATGGATCCCACTACGACATCTCTGGCCGCATAAGAAAGGGACCTGCCCCGCTCAACCTCGAGGTTCCCTCGTACGACTTCCCCGAGGAGGGCAAGGTTGTCATTGGTTAAGCGGAGTAACTTTTGAAGGGGAGGCGCACGGATGTCGAGACTTGTGTGTGTATAGGAGCGAGCATCAACAATTTCCTACGGTTTGATTCACATAGATTCGGCTTGTGTCCTTGCAATGTAACACTAGTTAGAGTCACCCTTTGTTTGTGTTGGTTGCAGGTGTTGCCGCGACTCTATTACTGGTACACGTTACGATAATCACGGCATCTTTCGCTCTATGGCTCTCATTGGATGCATCGTGCATGAGCATCAAAGATATCATTGACCGCTTAGGTAGGTCTTGACAGCCTCAACAGCGCCTTTGAACTTATCCGCCTCAATTAGCACCATGTGTCCCTTAGGTTTTACTCCCAATTCTTGAAACGCCCTCTTACTGTCGCTCGCACCCTCGTCTACCGGGGTATCATAATCAAAGTCCGTGAAGCCCACTGCGTGCTTGTGTAGCACCTCGTCCTCGGGATGGAAGTAAAACGTCTCCTGCCCAACGTCGGCCTTCTTGTTCTTCTTCTTGCTTGGTGGCGCATCTCCGCTCGGTAGTTGCGATTGAATTTCGGAATAGCATTTTGACAGCACGAGGTAGTGGGTAAATGTGTAAGGCTCCTTTTCCTCGACCGCCCATTGGATCTCTTCAAGTAGCATGGTATACATCGGGGGCACGACCTCGTGTGGCATGTTGATAAAGCGCTCGGTCAGAATAAGACCGACTTGTGCCTCAGAAGATTCGGCAAGCAGTGGCGCGAGTGTGGGGATTGAAGAGGCTTTTTTCGAGAGGTAGGATGTCAGGTCGCTAATTACTTTCTTGTCCTACAGATGTTTGTTAGGCCTGCCGGTTTTCTCAAATTGGCAAGGCGCATGCGTACCTTGTGTGTCTGCAGGTTCAAGACTGTAAGGAAAGCGTATGGATCCGTCTCATTGCCGTCAACCTTGACGGTACTTCCCAAGAGCGGTTGCGACAATATGAGATCGGCGAGTTCTGAGAGATTGAATAATTGCGCATCGACGTCGAGGAGTTGGCGCAACAGGTTTTTAAGCCCGTGGAAGTCAACAGCTGGCTGCGGATCAAACCATTCGAAGTCGACATTCACTATGTCCATTTCCTAGAGAGCAACGGTTAGCTTGCCGTATTACAAGAAGAATAATCGACCGAAGCGCATACCTCGTCGCTACCAGAGTCGTCGCCATCTTGCTGCGTGCGCTTTTCTGGCGCATCAGGCAGATCCTCGGGATCTCTCTCAGACTTTCTTTTGGCCATTGTATGTTTTGAGTGTGCAGTATACAAAAATCGGTACGAACTGAGCTGAGACGAGTGGAGAATTCGAGCGACGCGACTTTCGCGCTGCGTCGGCGGCGCTATCGATAGCGAAATTTTGGGCCCCGCCAAAATTTGCGAGAGTCACGGAGCCCCTCCTGCGCCTGGTTTCCCTCCCCAGATACCCCGTCTTCTTTCTTTCAACTTTTTTCTTCTCCTTGTCAACACTTTCTTTCACACTCCCATTTCACACTTTTCAAGTGTATGTCTTCTTTCAAAATGGCGACCGACAACTCCGACCCAATTCCTCCCCACAAGACGTTCGATACCATTTTGGTTCTCGACTTTGGCTCTCAGTACACACATTTGATTACACGCCGACTCCGTGAGCTGAACATCTATTCTGAGATGCTGCCATGTACCACTAAAATTGCCGATCTTCCTTTCACACCAAAGGGCATCATCCTCTCCGGTGGCCCATACTCAGTCTATGAGGAGGGCGCACCCCACGTCGACCACGCTGTCTTTGATCTCGGCGTCCCAATTTTGGGCATATGCTATGGACTACAAGAGATGGCATGGCACTTTGGCAAGAACGCCGGAGTAGCCGCAGGTGAGAAGAGGGAATATGGACATGCAAACCTCAAGGTTGAGAACCACGGCGGACACATGGACGAGCTGTTCAAGGACTTGGGCAACGACCTCGAGGTCTGGATGAGTCACGGCGACAAGCTCAGCCATATGCCCGAGGGCTTTGTGACTGTTGCGACTACGAACAATGCGCCATTTGCGGGCATTGCGCACACAACCAGCAAGTACTACGGCATTCAGTTCCACCCTGAAGTCACACACACAAAGAAGGGAACCACGGTACTGAAGAACTTTGCCGTCGATATCTGCCAAGCGAACACAAACTGGACCATGAGCAAGTTTGTGGATCAGGAGATTACGCGCATCAGGAAGCTTGTAGGCGACAAAGGGCAAGTTATCGGCGCCGTCAGTGGTGGCGTCGACTCGACCGTTGCCGCTAAGCTGATGAAGGAGGCTATTGGTGATCGCTTCCACGCCGTCATGGTCGACAATGGTGTACTGCGACTCAACGAGGCTGTACAGGTCAAGAAGACTCTAGACGAAGGTCTGGGTATCAACCTTACAGTCATTGACGCATCCGACCTGTTCCTCGACCGCCTCAAGGGCGTGACCGACGATCCGGAGAAGAAACGCAAGATCATCGGCAACACCTTCATTGAAGTGTTCCAGAAGCAAGCCGAGAAGATCAAGGCAGAGGCTCATGCGTCCAGCGACGCTGGTGACATTGAATGGCTCCTTCAGGGTACCCTCTACCCTGACGTCATTGAATCACTCTCGTTCAAGGGCCCCTCGCAGACCATCAAGACGCACCACAATGTCGGCGGTCTTCCCAAGGACATGAAGCTCAAGGTCATTGAGCCTCTGCGCGAACTCTTCAAGGACGAGGTTCGTGAACTGGGCAAGGAGCTCGGCATTCCAGAGGATCTCGTCTGGCGCCACCCATTCCCTGGCCCAGGTATCGCCATCCGTATCTTGGGCGAGGTCACTCGCGAGCAGGTCCGCATTGCACGTGAGGCTGACCACATCTTCATTGAGGAAATCAAGGCTGCTGGTCTGTACAGGAACATCAGTCAAGCGTTTGCGGCGCTTCTCCCTGTCAAGGCGGTTGGTGTTATGGGTGACAAGCGTGTGCACGACCAGGTGATTGCACTGAGGGCCGTCGAGACGTCAGATTTCATGACGGCAGACTGGTATCCATTTGATGGCGAGTTCCTCAAGAGGGTGAGCAGGAGGATTGTAAACGAGGTCAATGGCGTTTGCCGTGTGGTTTACGATAGTAAGTTCTCCTTTGTTCATATAAAGTAGGAATATCTGCTAACTTTGACTAGTCACCAGCAAGCCTCCTGGTACCATCGAGATGGAGTAGGAGCCCTGTTTTTTTTCGGATCTGGTTGCTTTACCAGAATATTTTTGTACAGCATGGATACGCTTGGATAGGAAGATGACTGGATGTGGATACGAATAGACGATGGATGATAGACCAACCTTTTGATGATACCCTTGCATGACTACTATGAGGTAGTTCAATATGAATATTTTTTTCAATCATGTACCGAAGTGCTGCCGGATGGATTTGTTGATGTTGGAGGTGGTTGTGATCTTATCAGTTGGTGGCAGAGATGGAGATCGATGCTAAAATCAGACAAAATTCGCACGTGTCATCTTCACATGCTTATATTGATAGGATCACTGAGTATACATGAGCACAATGCGATCCATGGGACCGAAGCAAAAAAGGAACATGGAAAAAATCCTACACATATAAAGATATAATCTGCTCGATTGCGTAGACTATGTAGGCTTGGCAGGGCTGTGCAATGACAACATCGGACCCCCGAGACAGTGGGCGCTGGGTCAAGGTGCTGGACCCTTGCATAAGCCCAGGCGAGGCGGGCATTCCGTCTCGCAACGTCGTATCTTTGAACCCTCCTATACATTCATTCCTTTCTGCGCCGACACGAAGAACCAGGACGAACCACGAGAATGCGATGAATGGGACCGGATTCACTGGCGAACGCGGCCATGTATCATCAGCCTCACAGTCCTCCTCGCTCCATGTAGATTCATCCTACTCACGGCCCGCCGGCCGACCGCCCTCTACGCGCCGCCAGTCGTCACGCCCAGGCCCAACTTCGCACTCCAGCTCGTTTGCGCCCTCGCTGCGGCGCCGCACAACCAGCCACTCTCTGCTCTCGCTCGATGTCGGCGATGAGGACCCCGAGGCTGCAGAGAGCACGCACGCCGAGGCCGCGATTGTCGAGGAGATTGCTGAGATCAAGCGCTACGAGGACTTTACGACTATAGATTGGGTGCAGGATGCTGCGCGTGAACAACTGAGGCGCAAGGCGCGGCAGCGGAAACGAGATAGTATTGGTGTGCGAAAGGATGGCGGCGTCAATAAAGTGTTTCTGGGCCGCGGAAGAGGCAAGTGGAGAAGAAAGATTGCAGAAATGTACGATGCAGGTCAGGCTTGGATTGTCGTTACGCTGGTGGGAGCGGCGATTGGACTCAATGCTGCCTGCTTGAATATCGTGACTGAGTGGCTGAGCGACATCAAGCTGGGACATTGCACCACGGCCTTTTACCTCAACGAGAACTTCTGCTGTTGGGGCGCCGAGGGAGGATGTGCCGAGTGGAAACACTGGACGGGGTTCTGGCCTGCGAATTATTTTCTTTATATCCTCTTCGCAGCGCTCTTCTCTTTTACGTCTGCGAGGCTGGTCAAGAGTTTCGCGCCATATGCGGCGGGATCTGGTATCTCGGAGATGAAGTGTATCATTGCGGGGTTCGTTATGAAGGGCTTCCTCGGCTTCACGACACTCTCGATCAAGTCGATTGGGCTGCCCCTAGCGATTGGCTCGGGCTTGTCGGTTGGCAAGGAGGGACCCAGCGTGCACTATGCTGTCTGCACGGGAAATGTGATTAGTAGGTTCTTCGACAAGTACAGGAGGAATGCGGCCAAGACTAGGGAGATCTTGAGTGCGAGTGCGGCGGCAGGTGTCGGCGTGGCATTTGGAAGTCCCATTGGAGGCGTACTGTTCAGTTTGGAAGAGATGAGCAATCAGTTTCCGCTCAAGACGCTCTGGAGGAGCTACTTTTGTGCTTTGGTTGCTACGGCTGTCCTCGCTGTAAGCACTCCTATTTCCTCCTATTTTCTTAGAAAAACAAGGCTGACTGAAGCTGCTATAGGCCATGAACCCCTTCCGTACTGGTCAACTGGTTATGTTCAACGTTTCGTACGATCGTTCTTGGCACTTTTTCGAGATCGTCTTCTACCTCATCATTGGTGTTTTCGGCGGTCTTTACGGCGCCTTTGTCATCAAATGGAATCTCAAGATGCAGGTCTTTCGCAAAAAGTACCTTGCTGCGTACCCTATTACTGAGGCTGTCATCCTGGCCGTCATCACGGGTGTCATATGCTACCCCAACATGTTTCTGCGAATTGACATGACGGAGAGCATGGAGATTTTGTTTCGAGAGTGCAAGCAGGGCAAGGACTACGACAGGTTGTGTGATGCGGCACAAAGATGGCATAATGTCGCGACGCTTGCTATTGCAACTACCATCAGAACCTTGCTGGTCATCATATCGTTCGGATGCAAGGTGCCAGCCGGTATCTTTGTGCCCAGTATGGCGATTGGTGCGGCGTTTGGCCGCATGGTGGGCATCTGTGTTCAGGCCCTTCACGAATCCTTTCCTACTTCAGCATTCTTTTCGGCTTGTGGACCAGACGGACCATGTATTACACCCGGTACATATGCTTTCCTCGGAGCTGCTGCATCCCTGAGTGGCATCATGCACATCACTGTTTCCGTGGTTGTCATCATGTTTGAAATTACGGGCGCCTTGACATATATCCTACCAACGATGATTGTGGTTGGTGTCACAAAGGCAGTGAGCGAGCGGTTCGGACATGGTGGAATCGCAGATCGCATGATCTACCTCAACGGCTACCCATTCCTGGATAGCAAGGAAGAGCACACTTTTGGCGTGCCAGTCTCTCAGGTTATGGAGAGCCGCGTCGTGTGCATATCGGCTACTGGGATGAAGCTACAACAGATGGAGCGCCTTATGAATGAGAACCAATACCAAGGTTATCCTATCGTCGAAGACCTGAAGACGAGGATATTGGTTGGATACATTGGGCGCACAGAGCTTCGGTATGCTATTGAACGCGCAAAGATAGAGCAACACACCCCACCGCACGCCAAGTGCTATTTCACACATTTATCCGCGTCTACGCAGAGCACCATGCAAACACGTGGGGGAGCTAGAGCATCGCCTAATACGACGTTCGAGTCTATCCCTAGTACATCGTCGCAGACCAATCTCGACTTTACACGATTTGCTGATCCTACTCCGCTGTCCGTCCATCCCCGCCTGCCCCTGGAGACGGTCATGGAAATCTTCAAAAAGGTGGGACCGCGAGTCATCTTGGTAGAGTACCGCGGCCAGCTCACCGGTCTCATTACCATCAAAGACTGCCTGAAATACCAATTCAAGGTCGAGGCGGGGCATGGTGGTGTTGGTGGTACCAATGGTGACGAGGGTATGGAGAGACTGGCAGCATTTGGAAAGCGTATCATCAACTGGGGACGAAGGAAAGTGGGGATGAAGGAGGTTGGGCAATTGAGGCTTGCTAGTCCGATGCCTGAACAGGGGACGGGGGAGAGGCACGGTGAAGCTTTTGCTATTGGTGCGGACGATGAGGAGAGCGACGATGACAGCGAGGACCAGGGCACGGAACTTCATGATAGGAGGGCTGATAGGAGTAGATAGTCAATCTTCGTGTACCAAGAAAGCTAATGCCGCGCCAATGATGGATGCTCTCTTTTTTGTGGTAGCCCGGCCGGCGTACTATGGCGGTGTTAGAGATTGAATTGGAGGAGCGGGAAGGCTAGTTGTGAAAAGTGGGCCTGTCAACGTCGCACTTTCACGTGGAGAGCTGTTACTTGCTGCTTGAGCCGTGGTCATGTCTGGCATGTCAGAGTCGTCAAAGACATACTGACAGGACAACAAGAGCAATCAAGACAACACTAGCCGCCCAAAACACGTGCCGACTGCGAGTAGAATAATCGTATGTTCTTGTGCTCCCAGACATGGAGGGACGAATCAACGGGCGGGGTTGTGCGGCTGCAGGGGCGGCGGTGACACTAGGCAGGCAGGGTAAGCGTGTGACGACCGTGCGCGCGTACTTCGCGTACGCCTACTGTGAATTATCAAACCGACAACACATCATCACCACCACCCGGTCGCCTCCCCAAGCGCCCCTTTGCAACTAGTAATTGCCCCCTCCAAACCACCGTTCCCTCACTACCCCGCCCTCCGAGCGCGGAGCCACATGTCTCCCTAGCGACCGAGACCCGACCAACACTTGACCATGGAGGGACCATTGAACCCAGGGGCCCCGAATGGCAATGGCAGCATACGCACTCCCAGCCCCTCACCGCCCTCGATAGATCCCCAGATCATTGTCGACCACCTGGAAAAGGTGCTCGATGTCAGTTTGGGTGCATCTAAAGGGGACCTGTATGCCCCCGGCAGTCTGCTGTCGTCGGCCAAATTACCGGATACACTGCAACGATGCGCCCGCTTCGCCTCTGAGGGGCAATCGGTGCTGTATGTAGTCAAGGACCGGGCAGATGAGCCTCGCATCGATGGCATAGAGAGCACGAATAGTAAGTTCCCCTCTACTGTGGGGAACAGAGCATTCACACTGACCGAAAGTGTAGGCGCCACCCAACATTTTACCTACACCCTCTCGAGTGAGATTACCGCTTCTCCCACCTGCGCCGCATTTGTTGTTATTTCCAAGCGACCGATACCCATAGACCCCGCGATACCCCTTAGCCAGCAGGTCCTTATTCAGACCTTGCCCGGCTTTATACTTTCTAATAACGCTTCTTCGCCCGACGGCACACCCTACGAATTCCTCCGTTCGCTCATTCAGTCGGCCGTCGAGCCCTACTTCGACACGTACACAAAGAACCAGCGTGACTTGGCAGGAAAATACAGCAAGGGTGACAATGATGCGAGGACGGGCATTTCGGCAACGAGGAAGAAGATTGCAGAGTTGGCTGTGAGCTTGGGCAACCTTGAGCAAAATGTCGAGATTCCTGAACTGCTTCTGCCTTTGCATCCACTCATCCAGAGTGCTTTGGACGAGGCCAATCAGCGTGGTGTGAAGCCCTCCCCAGAGCTTATCCCCGCTGCCATTGTGCAGGACAGCAGTTTTCTTAACGGTCTGCAGGCGACGGTCAATGGATGGATCAAGTCGATACAGACCATTACAAAGACTTCTCGCGACGTATCGACCGGAACAGCTGCGCAGGAGATTAACTTCTGGATTTCCATGGAGTCAAGGCTACACGATATTGAGACGCAGCTTGGAAGCCCCGGTGTTAGGCTCACGCTAGATGTGTTGAAAAATGCAAAGCGTTTCCAAGCGACTGTCAGTTTCAGTGCAGACACTGGTCTGAAGGAGAGTACGGATCTTGTGCAAAAGTACAACCAGCTTATGCGCGAATTCCCGCTCGATCAGTTGCTGTCTTCAACTTCACTCCAGGCAGTTCAAGAAGCAATTCAATCCATCTTCAGCCATATGAACAAGAAACTCCGCATTTGTCCCTACCCTGTCCGTCGCGCCTTGCCCCTCGTAGAGGCGATTTCTGGTGATCTCGACAAACAACTGCATAATCTGCTCCATGGCAAGACGCTTATGCACATGGACTATCCCGAGTTCCAGGCCATCATGGCGGTTGCTGAGAGCATCTGGCGCACATGGGAGGAGAATGTCAAGGAGTTCACTAACGTTGCGCGTGAAGTGACGAGGCGAAGGAACGAGAAGTTTATTCCAATCAAGATTGCTGCACGACACAAGGAGACGGAGGAGCGCATTCGCTACATCACTACTTTCCGCAAGAACCACGAGCAGCTCCAGCGAACCATTGTCAATGTCCTGGGATCCCAGTCGTCTCTGTCTGAGAGCGCGCCAGCCAAGGAGGCAGTCATCATCGAAGAGATTGGTGATGTCGATGCTGTCAAGGAGGTCAAGGAGGCGTATGACGTTCTGAAAGATGTGGATGTTCTGGATGTGTCACCCGAGGGTACCCGGCTGTTTGAGCAAGCAGAGCAAAAGTACAACGAACGCACCTCGCGTGTTGAGAACTCCATCATCGCCAGGCTGAGAGATCGCCTCGGTACCGCCAAGACGGCGAGTGAGATGTTCCGCGTCTTCTCCAAGTTCAACCCGCTGTTTGTGCGACCAAAGATTCGGGGTGCCATCTCCGAGTATCAGACGCAACTCATCGAGAATGTCAAACAGGACATCTTGGCCCTCCATGAGCGCTTCAAGCGACAGTATGGTAACTCCGAAGCTCACGCCATGGCACAGCTTCGCGATTTCCCTCCCGTATCTGGCGCTGTCATCTGGGCTCGTCAGATTGAAACCCAACTGGAGACCTACATGGGCAAGGTTGAAGACATTCTCGGAAAAGACTGGGCACTCCATGCGGAAGGTCAAAAGCTCCAAGCTGAAAGTAGTATGTTCAAGAAGAAGCTTGATACCAGGCCCATCTTTGAGTCATGGCTCCAGGAGGTTGCAAGGAGAAAGCTATCCATTTCTGGACGGCTCTTCCTTGTCAACAGGAACCGTGCTGCCGGTAACATCCTTGAGCTGAATGTCAACTTTGATGCGCAAGTCATTGCGCTTTTCAAGGAGGTCCGCAACTTGACATGGCGCGGTTACCAAGTCCCACACGGCATCAACAACATCTCAAAGGAGGCAAAGCGTGTCTATCCTTATGCTGTCAGCCTTATGGAGAGTGTCCGTACATACACTCAGACTGTGCGCTCAATCACCGAGATGGGCAGTGTTGCTCTGCTCCTTAACAACTATGTCAACGACGTTCAAGCACTCGTTGGCAAGGGTGTACCGCTCAAGTGGGAGTCTTTCGTTCACGCCTATGACCTCCATGTTCGACAGTCTGGTTTCCCTGTTGGTGGTGGTAGCGTCCGTAGCGAGAGCAAGCACGTCCAGTTTGTTCGCGACTTTGCTGCTGCGACATCCCTGCTTCAGCTGAAGGTCGCCACTTTAGTGAACATCAATGCTGCAGTCGAGAAGGCACTGAAGGATCTGGAAACATGCTCGTACACCAAGGATGCGTTCCAGCAGAATCTTGAGACCATTCAAAAGTCTATCGATCAACTCAACCTCGAGAACTACGCCAACCTTGCTTCTTGGGTCTCTGACATGAACGCCCGCATCGAGTCTATCCTGTTGGTCCGACTCAGCAGGGCTATCGCTTTGTGGATTGAGATCTTCAACAACGTCGATGAAGAGAATCAAGACCGCCGTCCAGTCAGCGAGCTTGTTTCTACGGAGATCCCAGAGGTGAAGCCAACCTTGGCTCGGTTGACGCTCGAGATTACTATGCGAAACCAGGTCATTTACCTCAGCCCTCCTGTGGAGTACGCTCGAGCAAGTTGGCTTGAGCAGCTTCAACAGTGGCTCGCCATTGTTTGCACCCTCCAGAAGATCAAGGCTTCGCGATATGAAATCAGACTTGAAGCAACCAACGATACTTCCGTCAATCAATTCTCCGACCTGCCGAGCCGATGCACTGATTCGCTTATTGAGGTCTATGGTGCTGTAGAGGGAAAACTCCGCGACATTTCCTCCTACGTTGATGAGTGGCTCCAGTTCCAGTCTCTGTGGGATCTGCAGTCCGACCATGTCTATGACATCCTCGGTGAGGATCTTTCCCGATGGTTGCAACTTCTCCAAGAAATTCGCAAGACTCGTGCCACCTTCGACAACTCGGACATCAGTCGCCAGTTTGGCTATGTCACAGTCGACTACGAGCAAGTGCAGGTTAAAGTCAACGCCAAGTACGACCAGTGGCAGCAAGAAATCCTTACCAAGTTTGCTAGCAGGCTTGGCCAGCGCATGAATGATGTCTATGTGCAGATTGAGAAGGCTCGCAAGGACCTTGAGATGCAGACACTTGAGGCGTCCTCAACCGCTCAGGCTGTCTCCTTCATCACCACTGTTCAGCAATGCAAAAGGAAGGTCATGGAGTGGGAACCGGAGATTTCTACGTTCCGTCAGGGTCAAGCCACGTTAGCTCGCCAGCGCTACCAATTCCCATCGGACTGGCTGCAGATGGAGCAAATCGACCACGAATGGCAGACACTGAATGAGGTCTTGGAGAGGAAGAACAAGATCGCGAATGACCAAGCTGACGCATTGAGAGCTAAGATCGCTGCGGAAGACAAGGTCGTCAACCAGAAGATCGTTGATATCACTGGAGAGTGGGCTGAGGAGAAGCCTGTGGCTGGCAATCTTGCACCTGCGGATGCTTCAGCCATTCTGGCCAAATTTGACCAGAAGCTTAGCCAGCTTCAGAACGAGTCCAGCAATATCTCGAAAGCCAAGGAAGCTCTTGGTTTGCCACCGTCTCCAGAGAACGCACTTGAGACTTTGCTGGAAGAAGTGCAAGATTTCAAGTCGGTCTGGTCTGCACTTGGCACGATCTGGGCCAGTATTGATGATCTTCGTGAGGTCCTGTGGACTAGCATCCAGCCTCGTAAACTGCGACAGAATCTCGACAACCTGCTCAAGATGACTAAAGATATGCCTAGCCGCATGCGACAATACCAGGCTTTTGAATATGTTCAGACCACCCTCAAGCAACTGCTCAAGGAGAACGCGATCCTTGCAGAATTGCGCTCCGATGCTGTGAAGGAGCGCCACTGGACGAGGATTTTCAAGAACCTGA